CTTGAGAGGGTTCAGAGGAGGGCCACTCGCTTTGTTGGAGGGCAACAGGGCAGGCCCTATGAGGAGAGGCTGAGGGACCTGAACCTGTTCAGCCTCAGCAAGCAGAGGCTGAGGGGGGGATTTGGTGGCTGCCTACAAATTCGTTAGGGGAGACCAGCAGCAAATAGGAAGAGCCCTATTCTCCCCAGCAGCACCTGGGGTGACGAGGAACAATGGCCAGAAGCTGCTAGAGAATAGGTTCAGGTTAGAGATTAGGAAGCACTATTTCACTGTCAGGGTAGCTAGGATCTGGAACCAACTTCCTAGGGAAGTGGTCCTCGCTCCTACCTTGGGTAAGTTCAAAAAGAGGTTGGGTGAACACCTGTCTGGGGTCATGTGATCCCAGCGTGTGCTCCAACCAGTGGCAGGGGGTTAGACTAGGTGATCTATTCAGGTCCCTTCTGACCCCTAACTACTATGAAACTATCATGTTTGATGAGTAGTCATCAATGACTCAATATCTAGTTGGAATATGGTATCAAGTGAGGTTCCCCAGGGATCTTTCCTGGGTTCAGTATTGTTTAATATTTTCATTAATGATTTGGACAATGGGATCAAGTGCATGCTTAGCAAATGTGAAGATGATAGCATCTCAGGTGTATTGCAAATACTTTGGAGGGCAGGGCTAGGATCCAGAATGACCTGTATAGACTGAAGAAATGGTTCGCAATCAATCAGATGAGATTCAACAAGGACAAATGCAAAGTCCCACACTTGGGACAGAATAATCACATGCACAGATGCAGACTGGGGAATGACTGGCTGGGCTGCAATACTGTAAAGAACTTGGGGGCTACAGTAGACCATAAACTTAATATGAGCCAACACTGTGCTCTTGTTGTAAACAAGCCAACAGCCTACAAGTTGTATTAACAAGAGAGGTGATTCTTTTGCTCTCTTCTGCACTGTTGAGGCCTCACATTGAGTGCTGTGTCCAGTTTTTGGCCCTGCATTTCAAAATAGATGTGAACAGTTTGGAAAGAGTCTTCAAACCAAAAAGGCAATTATAGAGAGGCTGGAGATGGGCTTTTCTCTGCGACCATAGGAGACAGAGCTAGGAGAAATGGCTTCAAGCGTTAGCAGGGGAAATTTAGGCTGGAGATCAAGAGGAAGTTTCTGACTCTGAGGGTGGTCAAGCAATTGAACAGGCTGCCTAGAGAAACTGGGCTCCTAGCCACAGGGGAGCATTTGGTCACATGTTCAATTAATGGCATGATTAGAGCAAGTTACAAAGTTACTACACTTTTTTTGTGTTATAACTTTGTAGCTTACTTCATGTTTTACCGTGCCATTAACTGGCTGAACGCGTAGATGGGTCACAACTTAAGGCATAATTAATTACCTGGTTAAATGTACCTTAAGTGTATGGTGTAGAGCGGGGGCTGGCTTTCAGTTCATCTGTCCCTGCTGTGGAGGACACTTTTTTTTCCCCTTGCGTTCTAACCACCCACCTTTATCCCAGGCTGTCCACTTCCTCCTAAAGGGGGCCAGACCACCCTATTACACTAAGTCACAAAGATCAGTGAAAAGGACCCTCCCACCTTTTGTGTTCACTCTTTGTAGGAACCCAAGCAAAGTGGAATGAGATTTAGCTTAGATACCTAATAGTTGGGGTAGAATCTGGCCCATAGTATTCAGTATTACATCCTGTGGTAGTTGTTTGTAAAATTCATTGGTGAGGCTCTGGAACCTTTGAATACCCTTAATAAGGAGTGTTCTCTGTATATCATAGAATCATAGAAAAGTTCCTGGCAGGGTTGATCAAATGCACTTGAAAGATCCAAGGAAGAGGGCAATGCCCCCCATGACAGAGAAGGACAAACCCCCCCACCGTCCATACCAGTCTGACCATGGGGTAACATTCCTTCCTGATCCCAAAGCTGGCAATTAGTCTGACCCTGAGTAGAAGGGCAAAACCCTCTAGTCAGGAACCTCCTGGCTTTAATCCCAGCAGGAGCATTAGCACAGCCCAGTCATAATCCCTGGTCTGTGCTGCAGTCAACAGCCAATGGTTCTGAAGAAAGCAAAAAAACCCCAACAAAAACTGACATCAATAGCAAGTGGAGGGGAAGAAAATTCCTTCTTGGCCCCACATGGCAACAAAAAGTCCAGAAGCCCTGGGAAATACCAAACATCCTCCTTTCTGCTATGAGCCTGGGGACAATAAACAACTCCATGAATCGCACAACTCACCTTTCTGTGTCCCTTCCATAAACTTATCCCAACGACAAAAAACACGATTAGTACAGAATTAAGGTTTCCTAGTGGTATCTTCTTCCTTTACAGCAAAACTCCAGACTTTGGAAACCTTAATTCCCAGTGGCTACTTTGACAGCGGTATCTGTAAGCTGTCTGGCTCCATTCACTACATGACGTAGCTGTGCTGAATGGTGGAAAGGTGCTACTTAAGTCATACTGAAATTACATTTTTAAGAGTTGATGACCCTTGAGGTCCCTCCCCACTCTGATTCTACTGAAAATATTTTGGCAACATGATTCATAGATGTAGGGTCGGAGGGGACCTGAGCAGATCATCAAGTCTGACCCCCTGCCCTGGGCAGGAATTAATACTGGGCTCGTATGACCCCCACTAAGTTACGTTCATATGACCCCAGCTAGGTAGTTATCAAGCCTGCTTTTAAAGACCCCTAAGGTAGGAGTCAGCACCACTTCCCTTGGAAGCTGGTTCCAGTTCCTGGCTGCCCTGAATGTGAAGTAGCGCCTCCTGATGTCTAGCCTGAACCTACTCTCAATCAATTTGTGGCCGTTATTCCTTGTTACTCAGGGAGGCACTTGGGGGAAGAGGGTCTCACCCATTTCCCTCTGGTCCCCCTGGTAAGTTTTAGACGGTCACTAGATCCCCTCGCAGCCTTCTCTTGTGAAGGCTGAACAGGTCCAGGTCCCGTAGCCTCCCCTCATAGGGCCTGCCCTGCTGTCCCTGGATCATGCGAGTGGCCCTCCTCTGGACCCTCTCAATGCTGTCCATATCCCTCCTTAAGTGTGGCGCCCAGAACTGGATGCAGTACTCCACCTGCAGCCTGACCAGTGCCGCATAGAGGGGGAGGATCACCTCCTTGAACCTGCTTGTGATGCATCTGTGGATGTATGACAAGGTGTGGTATTTGTACTATGGTAGCACTCAGCTGTTCCTGTTAGAAGCAGAACACTATTGTATGGGCTACAAACATGCAGAAGTCTCTACTTTGGTGACATTACAAGCTAATTAATGTAGGGAATAAATCTAATATAAATTCTCAGGTAGAATTAAATACATATTTCAAGTGAAATCATAGCAGGCATCTCATGTGTAGGAGCTGCTACATTGTAGCCCCAAATCTTACTGGTCTCTTTGTTCATATTTCTCACATGGCAAGTTCCTGCTTAAATCGCTTCCCAAGTTTTTACTTCCCATTTGGGAATGTCTACATTAGACACTAAATGCGCAGTTGACTAATTCTATTGAGCATTAGCATGGCAGGCAAAAACGTGTGCTAATGCACAGTAGAATTAGTCTACTGCACATTAGCATCACAAAAAAGCATGTTTCAGCTCTACTGCACAGTAGCTCCAATTATGGCGCATTGTTAGTACCTGTCATTACAGCGTATTAATGAACGTGTAGATGCACCCAGTGTTGTCTTTTCAGGAAAATTTCCTCTAGGTATATTAGTGGCATTTGTCCAGGTCAAATTTTTGTTATTTCTAGGTGATCTATACCAGGCCCTTTGGACAAAGCTCTGTTCTCATTGGTGTGCGCAGCTCTTTGCAAGTTAATAATTTCTATGAACCCCATTAATTAATCTTTTCTTTCTCTTTCACATCCTGAATGAAGAAGGGGTATGAAATTGGTCCCAAGGTATTGTTCCTTATTGTGCATTTCTGGTGTTTAGTTTGTCTTGGCACCAGCTGAGACCCGTTCTTTAAACTCCGTGTACTGATTTATGGCATTGTTCTTTGTTTACAGTCCTTGAGTCTTAATCTTGTGCATATTTAAGCCAGTATGATTTGTTTTCCCAAGTATTTGTTTCATTTCCCTAGGGGGAGCACTTTGTGTACCTAAGTTTTCCATTGCATTCTGCTGCTGTCACTGGACTGGCCACCTGTATCCGCAAACCCCTTGTTGCTACCTGTTCCCTGGACAGATCTGTTCGCATCTGGAACTACGAAGCCAAGTAAAGACCCATTTTTTTATTTTATTACCTTCTGTCTCTTTGCATATCCTGTATCTAACAGACAGCAGATGTCTTACCATATGGATGCCTGTGTTTTTGTTGATGAGGGAGTTTTTAAAGACTGGAGGTTGGGATGATTATGAATAGCCAATATGTTCAAAACTAGCATAAAAAAATCACAGATTTTGCTCCCATGCCTCTGTGCACTGCAAATGTGTCACAGGTTTTCCAAAAATTGATTTTAGAAATGTTTTATATTGTTAAGAAATGTTACTACATTTTTTTATCAGCTTGCCTTAACATATTCCCCCATATCTTTGTACCATGAGTACAACTAACTATCAAGTATCCAAAAGAGAAAAAATGTCAGAAACTCGAAGAAAGGATTTTAAATGACTTTGCATAACATATCTTCTATAAGCAAATGCACTATAGCACTGGACACATGGATTTTCAGCTCTCTAGTGAGATAATGCAACCATTTTTGGTCTAACTTGCCAAGATACGATTTCTAAGCCTCTAAAAATTGTCAGGATTTGTGATGGCTGTATGTGTAGTAGGGCTTGCTACCGCTGCCCCAAGCTTGTCTGCCTACAGGTGGTGACAGGGTGGATCTCGGCTTTGGATCACCTGGTCTGCCGGGAAGTTGGTCGTATGTTTTCTCTCCTGCCATGACTTTGATGAAATATATTCCCAGGAGGCACTGCCTGTGGTGATCCTGCCTGGTCTCGATCCCTGTTTCTTCTGTGGGGCTCCAAACCTCCCCTTTACCCCAGACTAGCCTCTCTAGATGGTACTCACAAACTTCTTCTGCAGCCAGGTTGCAGTGCTGCCTGTTGTGGTATTATTTGGCCCTCTACCCCAGGGTGACCTTTGGTCTTGATTAGGTACACCCTTCCAGGGCTGGTCTTGGCCCGTGCTCAAATATCAAAAGAAAAGGCAAAAAAAAAAACCCCAAAGAAAACCCCGACTGCTCTCAGCCTCCTTGTCGGGCTCAGTCCGTGTCCCCTTTTCCCCAGGATCAGGTTCTCAAAATCCCAATCACAACGATCAAGAAAATCCCTTAGTCTAGTCTTTGTCATGCGCCGGCCTTCCCTGCACCCCTGTGAATATTCACAGTCTCCTTGGGGTCTCCCCCATGTGCAGGAAGGCTCTACCTGTAACTATAGTTTCCCTCAGGCCCTCCTCTGGATCCTCTGTTGAAAACTCTGCTCCAGAGATTATCACAGGCCTGCCCAGCACCCCTATGAACATTCACAGTCTCCTTGTGGACTCCCTCTCTTCGGATCCTCAGCTGTAGCTCCACTCCGGAGATTATCACCAATTATCACCAGCAGCGTTGTGTGTGCAGGCCTCTGCCTGCCTCCTGCTCAGGATCCTCTGGCAGGTTCAGCGGCCCTTGCCTGCCAGGATGCTTAGCTGCTCCTCTCTCCCTGTGGCCTGCAGGGGACTGACCCTTCTCTGCCCCTCTCCGGGGCCGGAAATACCTCTGGGCAGCCTCCCTCCTCCAGTCCTGAGCTAGATGCTGCTCCGGAAGTGGGGTGGGTATTTTCCTTTCCTTCCGGTCTCCAGCTGCAGCCCTGCCGGCCCTCCATGCTGTGAGTTTTGTCTCACTCCTTCACAGGATTGAATATTGACCATACCTTGTCTAGGTCAGCCTAATTTGAGAGAAATTCACTGAAGACTACCAGTGAAGGGTGTGTGTAGACAAAATGGGGGCCCTAAATTGAAGCAGTGGATTTTTAAAAACACCGCTTCAATTTAGGGCCCTTTCAACCCCCATGTTGTGCACACACCCAAATATACCTGCCTCTCCGGTGGCAGGGAGGGGAGGGCGAGCTGCCGGCAGGGGGGGCGGTCCCTGGGCTGCAGGGGGCGCTGGTGCTTCCCTCCATGGCAGCAGCAGCCCCCCCTCAGGCAGCGGTGTAGCCGGCTCCGGCAGTCCCAGGGAGCACTGCAGCTGCGGAGGGAAGCACCGGGCTCAAGCAGTCAGGCAGGCTCCAAGGGGAAAAAAAACAAAAACATGGTTGTTGTGGGGGACCTAAACTACCCTGACATCTGCTGGGAGGAGCAGTCGGCCAAATTCAACTGTTCATGTAGGTTCTTAACCTGCGTACAGGACCTTCACCTAGCACAGGAGGTATACGGTACCACTAGGGGGAATGCCTTACTGGACTTGGTGTTGGCTACGGGGGATGACCTGGTAGGGGAGCTGCAGATTCGTGGTCACCTTGGGGACAGTGACCACTGTGGAAAAGACTTACCTGATGTGGAGCAGAGGCGGCGGGACACCGCACCAGAAGATGAAAGCAGTGAAAGTGAAACTGCGGTGGGTGAAGCCGCCGCAGAAAAATACAAAAAGGAAAAAAATGGCCAAACCTGAAGGAGCCGGGATCAACAACCCCATCAGTGTGGGCATACTTTATAATGGCATGCCAGGACCGATTGGGCAGCCAGACCTCTGGACCCAAGATAAAAAGCCCAGCAGAAGACAAATGGGAGGGACCGGAGGGGCCAGAGAACACAAGCAGTCCCAGTGAGGGGACCTGGTGGTTACCCCAGAAAGGGGTCTCCATGATAGCGCAGGGCCAGAGAGGGCCCGAGAATTGGTCTACAGAGCTGACATGGACTGAGAAATCCGGCAGCAGAGCCTGGAGCCCGGCAGGACTCAGCAGAGCTGGGATACAAGTGAGACAGACGGATGACAAGTACCAAGCCTGGGGCAGAGGCGACGTGTCGGGGGACGGATTGGTACTGAAGCTGGACAATGTGTAATTGGAAAGGAGGAAGGCTGGGGGAAATGCTTGGAATAGTAAAATTTCCCACACCCGGCGGCCATCATATTGCAGGAACCCGAGCACCAAAGACGGCACAGGAATGGAGGTGACGACATCAAGGTTGACGTTAGGCGGGGTGTAGGGGAGGTTGGAGCCCCACAAAGGCAGAACAGCGGGAAGCACATTTGCGAGAGCCCGGCAGGAAAAATTATGCTGAGGGGAAACCAGCACGGGTTCGTAGCGGGTAGATCATGCCTGACTAATCTAGTCTCTTTTTATGACCAGGTTACAAAACACCTGGACGCAGGAGTAGGGGTTAACGTCGTTTACTTAGACTTCAGGAAGGCCTTCGATACGCTATCCCACCCCATACTGGTGAACAAGTTAAGAGGCTGTGACTTGGATGACTACACAGTCCGGTGGGTGGCGTATTGGCTAGAGGGTCGCACCCAGAGAGTTGTAGTGGATGGGTCGGTATTGACCTGGAAGGGTGTGGGCAGTGGGGTCCTGCAGGGATCGGTCCTTGGACCGATACTCTTCAATGTCTTCATCAGCGACTTGGACGAGGGAGTGAAGTGTA